TTTACGTTGTAGTTTATTTCAGAGTTTCAATAAAAAATTTTCTATGAAATGATATTTCTAATATTATTATTATCAAAATTAAGATTTTTTAATAATTTATTTTTCATTTTAATTTTCAGGTGTATTTTCAAATTTAAAATTTAACAATTTTGAAGATAATGAAGGGGATTCACTGGCTGAATTTATCAGTTTTTATATGTAGTTTTATATTTTGGTACATTAACGCTGGGGTGGCGCCACACGTTTTTCAGTCCTAAGGAGTGCAATTCTCACTTTTTCACTCCTAAGTAGTGCATTTCTCACTTTTATACTGCTCAACGGTAAAAAGACCTACTTCTCATGCTTAACTACCGTCGGTAAAAGAGCCCTTTTTGGGCTTGAGCAATGAAAATTAATATACACACCTCGCCATGGAAAATATATCACCCTCCCCCACGTACTTGCCATCCTCGCCTTCGGCTCGGAAGGCAATCTTGCACGTGGGGGACGGTGATCTGTTTTCCAAGGCTCGAGCATGTGTCTATTTTTTCTGACAAATATTACAAAAACGCTGTTTTACGGGCAGTATGGTGAAAATGTGTTTTCAAAAATGAAGAATTGTGGAAAGAACAAAAAAAATCTCCTGATATCTTCCGAACAGGGCATTAATTATTACATTGTCAATAATTACAGGTCTGATTACAAGTTACATTTGTAATCCATTAATCCTGGCCACCGATTCTTTAACTACAAGTCAAATCGGCAATCAGAACTCAAAACTCTTGAATATTTGAGCAAACACTATTCAGAATGAGAATGTACTCTATTAGTCAATAAGTCATAAATCACAAGAATTAATGGATTACACTATCAATCGTTAATTAATACGACAAGTTATTTGATTGTTTAATTAAGCATTAATTGACGCTGAAAATTATTTGATTAAATAATTAAGAGTTGAATAAGATTTTTAAAAATTATGATTTGAAACAGTTGGATTCATAATTTTCTTGAATAATACTTATACAGAATTTAAAATTGATTGATTACTCTGTAACGGTTTCTGTATCGATTCGTAATTAGAATTGGAAAACCACATTCTTAGGGGAAAGAAAAAATCATAATCTTTAATATTTCTGCCAATGATTGAGTTATAAAGCTCTGTTGCGCTCATTTTTCTCGTTTTGGACTATACTGACAAATAACACTGACAAATCTCAATAATAGTGATGAAAACAACAATAATATGGCGTACAATTGAAATCTTCCCAGTTTTAATGGGGACACGAAGAAATGGTCTCAATCATTACCACGCATGATATTTTCCATCAGGGATAAAACGAATTTGAACTCCAATCCTTTTATTTGTTTCTACCCTCATCACCAAATTTCTCAACATTATCAGAAAATCCTGGAAATAATTCGTATTCTAAACAGTATGTGAGCTGAATTTGTCCATCCCATCTCATTTCACTTTTTCAGATTATGCAATTGATAAAGTAATTCATTAATCTTAATTCCCTATTACCATTATGCCGATCTCTGCTGCCGAGAATTCTTTGCACGTCTGTATGAAATTATTAAACTTTTGGTTTTGGTTTTACTTTCGGAAATCTTTTAAAAAACGTTTGACAGTAGGACCAATCTCTGGAATTTTACCAGAAAATCACTGACAGAATCAATCGCAATTGATATATTTCAGGGCGAGTGCCATAATTGTTTTTACTGGCGTGGAATTGGCGTCCAAGCCGAAAGCGAGGACTGGCCAAGCGAATAAAAAAACCTCATCGCACTAGTCGTGAACAATATTTTTCCGTAGTGATTTCCACTTTTACAAGTTTCGGACATTAGCATTGGCCCTTCCCCAAACTCGTCAATGTCAAAATCGCTACGGAAAAATATGATTCATGACTAGTGACATGGATTTTTTTATACGTGTGGCTGGCCAGTCCTCACCTTCGGCTTAGACGCCAACTTAGCACGAGAAAAAACCCCACTGATACTCGTCCCGAAGTATATAATTTTTGTCCTTTTTAATCTCAAAGAATTATATTTTCCTTCTAGAAACTTAAGCGCCCTGTGATGAAATAAACAAAAAAAAAACATTCTGCACTAAATTAATTATCAGGATACTCTCTACTTTAATGCTCGTATAATTATCATCAATCATCAATATCTAATATTACCATCCATTAGCATTAATATCTACAATCTATCTATTCATATTATAAATGCCCGATCTACAGACGTACGACACGCGCTACTCTTCCGCCTCGAATAAAACTCGGCAACGACATTCCGTAATCGCAGCTACGAAGACAGAAATAAGAAATGCTCAATGTGTGTAATCTTATCAGTGAAGTAGTAGCATAAATGCGTATTCCGGCGCGTTCAATTAGTGTTGGGTTTTTCTAGTGTCGGATGACATACGAACGTTAAGCTGACGGTAGTCATGTTGACACTCATTAAAAAATTCCTTGTATTTTTTACATAGTTTCTCCATATTTTGATATCAGTTTGCTGCGACTTGAAAATATCCAAGTGCTGTAGTCTCAAAAGTACATTCTTGGCCTTTTTTCAACCATAGAGGGTAACAACTTCCACATGACTAGCATTCATCGAGTTCAGGAGAATACGACAGTTTAGTGAAATTCATTGATTTTCTAAATGCTGACTATAGCCTGGCATGATTTGTAAAATACTGTTGAAAATCGCGTATATTCAATTATAATATTTATTCAAATATAATAAGTCTATGTAATATTACATTTCTTACATAAAAAAAATCACGGAGATGTAACTTTTCGAAAACTATTATTGACGAGGCTATGGCAATTGGATATTCTGAGTGAAGCAATGATCTGAAGGAAGTGAGGATCCGTGAATATTTCAACAAAATTATTTTTTTTTTGTAACGAACCAGGAATCTATCTTCACTCAAATGAAACTGCAACAATATGAACTTCGCAATGATTCCGAATATTTGCGATCTGTTCCTTCTATTTATTATTACTTTCCATCATGAGTATGGAAAATTGGTTAATGAAAGTTGACAGTGCTATTTTGTCAGCGCCATCTAAACATTTGTGTTAATAAATCGGATTAGCGTGGGACAGGAGGAGAATTTTTTTTTTTGAATGTTGAGAATAAGAATGACGAGGAGATGATGATACTCACCAGGGACTTGACATTGACGTTGGTCAGATCGTCCTCGTCCGAGAGCTCTTCCGGCTGTGGCTGGACTCGATGAATACTGTGCATGCTTTTTTCTTCGGCATTAACGTTCTAGGTGGCAAAACATGCTACTAATGATGATGTCATCGGAGAAGAAAAGTGACAACAAAATTTTTCTCTTGACTTCTTCAATGTCAAATGACATGGGCCATTCCACAAAATATCGTACGCACATCCGGCCTCAAAATTCTCAACAGTTATTTTTATTTTGTTTTATTTGAATAATTACACGGAAAGAATATAAAATTAAAAATTACAATATGAACATAGTAATCGATAGTTATCTTGACCAAATTTTTACTCGAGACAAATTAAATTTTACTTTTATTCTATAGCCCGGTGGCTTGGCGCAGTGGGTAAGTTCGTTGCCTCACTTGCGAAAAGTTCCGAGTTAAAATCCCGGCCGGGTAGAATGGTGCGATCTAACCATTTAAAGTCTTGATCATCATCGCAGTATACTCTAACCGGGTCGAAGCGATGTAAAATAACGATAAAAAAAAACTTTTATTCTATCACTTTGCAGAAAAATTAAGCGATTTTTCCCGAATTTTGCGCGCTTTTCCCATCAGGACCCTGAAAATCCGTATTTATTTAGCAGACCAATGTCATCGGATTGGCATAATTTTCATTGTAGCGTGAAGTACTAATTGTATGCTAATTTTCTGCGGAAAAATTAATCGATTTTTCCCAAATTTTCCGCGAATTTCCCAGGACCCTAAAAATTCGTATAGTGCTGACAGATAAATGGCGGGTCCCACAGACCCAACGATCCTATATTAAAAAAGACATGGGTCACTAATCGAACATGACGGATCTCATGGGGATAATCGATTATTTTGCATTCGATTTCGATTAATCAAATAGAACCGGACATCACATCAGCTGATTAGTACAAGGTTACGGAGAAATACCGCAAGATGGCAGTGTAAAAGATGATACTGTGGCGACTCCGTCCGCCGCAGTTCCCACTTCGTCCACGGCGCAGCGCGCCGATCACCCTCAAGGCGCAACCCGTCGCCCGCGGAAGCAAGCCTTGATACCAAAATTATTCTATGCCTAACGCTCACACCACACGTGAAGCATACGATATCATTCATTCCAAAGTTTAATTTGTATTGACTATTTCTACTACTGATAATAATAAATATTAGTGTTGTTACATACTGCGGAGATTACTCTATCTTGGGGAACCCTCATAATAAGCTAAATTGGTGACCCCGACGTGATCTCAACAGATTACGTTTCTACACGAGGTTAACCCCATCGAGCACGAGTCGCTGCATCGACAGAGTTATGCCGCTCACCCACTCGCCATCCGGTAATCAGGGTGATTTGACACTACAACTAGATGAACAGCAACAACAACAAGCATTACTACAGCAGCAGCAACGACAATCGTTGGCACAGCAACAGCAACAACAATTGTTATCATAGCAATCACTGGGGTACACTGAGGCTCAGATCATGGCTGTCACGCAGTTCAAACTACCAGATTTTTGGTCCCATGATCCCGAGCTATGGTTCATCCACATCGAAGCCCTGTTCACCACCAGAAACATCAGATGTGACCAGACGAAGTATGGAGCTGTTGTTGCTGCCTTGGGCTCGGATGTTCTCAAGGAGATGTCCGACGTTCTCAGGAATCCACCGCCCACAGATACGTATATTAACCTCAAAAATATACTTCTCAAACGTTTCACTGACTCAGTTGATCGCCAGTTACATAAACTGTTGACAGAGATGCAGCTTCGTACACAAAAGCCGAGTCAACTCCTCAGGCAAATGAAAACGCTCGCTGGCAACAGAGCAAGCGAAGAACTCATTCGCAGCAGATGGCTGGCCCTGTTGCCTGATACTGTGTCCAAGATCCTCACAGCAGTCTCTAACAACTCCACTCTCGATCAGCTCGCTGAGGCAGCCGACAGCTGTATGGAAAATCACACCAGCTCCCAAGTCCTGTCAACCAGTTTCCAGTCCATGGCTCTCAACAATCAGCCCATGGCGCCCAGTGTTCAGCAGTCCATGCCTTTCAACACACAGGCCTTCCCATCCGCCACCCAGCCCATGGTCGCTCAGAGTCAGGTCATGGCAGCCAGTCACACTTCCTATCAGAGACAGGCCAGCACCATCACGGTCGAACAGAGGTTGAGTGAGCTAGAGAGGACGGTAGCAAATCTAGCAGCATCGATCAGCAGCCTGACTGCTAAATTAGCAAGTGGAAGATCACGATCTCAATCACGATCACGATCCTGAACTTCAGGACCACCAAACCACTGCTTCTATCATCAGAGATTCGGTGCCAGGGCCGCCAAGTGCGTCCAGCCTTGTGCGTGGAAACCATCCAACCAGGGAAACTAACTGAGCTGTCGTCAGTCCAGGCGGTTGGCGACAGCGCTCAGGTCATTCCGTCCATCAAAGAGCAGCGTCTTCACGTTTACGATAGGTCTTCACACACCAGATTCCTCGTCGACTCTGGCTCCGTCATATCAGTGCTACCACGAGCCTTAGTCAAACAAAAACTACAACCATCAGACTTCAAACTCTTTGCTGCCAACTTTACCAGTATTGCAACTTACGGACTTCAGCCGATTACACTCAACCTTGGTCTTCGTCGAGCATTCTCCTGGCCCTTCATCGTTGCGGATGTACAGTCTGCAATCATAGGGGCTGATTTTATTGTTCACTTTGGGTTGATGATAGACCTAAAAAAGCATCGCCTTATCGATCCTCTCACATCCCTATCAACAACTGGAGAACTTGTTGAAACCTCAGATTTCGGCATCTCAACAGTGGATCAGCACTCATTCTCCAACTCCGTTCATGAGGGCAAGTACTCAGACCTCCTCAAACAGTTCCTCGACATCACCAAACCAGCTGTCTCTGCAGCCTCTTACAACCCGGCAGGTGTGGCACACTACATCGTCACCACAGGACCTCCGGTTGTCGATCGATTTCGCAGATTAGCTGGTGAGAAACTCAAAGCTGCAAGGGACGACATCAACATGCTGCTAGAGCTTGGTGTTATACGACCGTCTAGTAGTCAATGGACTAGTCCCATCCATATGGTGAAAAAGAAGCTCGGAGGCTAGCGCACCACCGGTGATTTCCGGCGACTCAATGCACTGACAGTCCCGGATCGCTACCCAGTACCTTATCCTGAGGATATTTTCCAGCGCCTGCACGGTAAGAAAATATTCTCGACCATCGATCTGGTACGCGCCTACCACCAAATCCCCATGGCTCCAGAGGACATCGAAAAGACTGCGATTACAACACCCTTCGGTCTCTTCGAATTTCTGGGCATGCCCCCTGGACTACGTACTGTAACTCAGACCTTTCAACGTCATATGGACAACATCCTGAGGGGTCTGGACTTCGTTGGCTGTTACATAGATGACCTCATTGTGGCTTCTGAAACCCATGAGGAGCATCTCCAGCACCTCCAGCAAGTCTTCTCCATCTTACGTCAGCACAAGCTATCGCTGAACCCCAGCAAGTGCGAGTTTGGAAAAGAGGAAGTGACCTACCTGGGCTACACGATCAACAAGGATGGATACAAAGCTCCTAGCTGACGTGTGGAGGCAATCATCTCCTTCCCCAGGCCAGAGACTGTGACTGACCTTCGCGGATTTCTTGGAATGGTCAACTACTATCGCAAGAGCATTCCCCACGCTGCTGAGTCCCAAGCACCGCTTAATGGCTTCATCACTGACTCCAAGAAAAACGACAAAACTAAGATCCAGTGGACTCCTGACACCGAGGAAGCTTTGGAAGCCTGCAAGCAGATAGACTCTGATGCTACCCGCACAGCCTGNCACAGCCTTTCTATCGCCGTCTGCACCCCTTCTGCTGACTACTGATGCCTCTGACTTTGCTATTGGCGCATCATTGGAGCAGTTTGAGGACAACACCTGGAAGCCAGTCGGGTTCTTCTCAAAGAAACTGAGCCCTGAAAAAAGAAAATGGAGCACTTACGACCGAGAGTTACTGGCGATTTTCTCCGCTGTTGAATTCTTTCGTCATGTCCTTGAGGGACGCCACTTCGTCATCAGGACTGACCACAAACCGTTGGTCTACGCCTTTTCGCAAAAAGCAGAGAAAGCTTCTCCTCGTCAACTCAAATTTCTTGGCTACATNCTACTAGCGATTTTCTCCGCTGTTGAATTCTTTCGTCATGTCCTTGAGGGACGCCACTTCGTCATCAGGACTGACCACAAACCCTTGGTCTACGCCTTTTCGCAAAAAGCAGAGAAAGCTTCTCCTCGTCAACTCAAATTTCTTGGCTACATCTCGCAGTTTACCACTGAGATTGTGCATTTGAAGGGACAAGAGAATGTTGTCGCAGATGCACTCTCCAGGATCAACGCTATCAACATGCCCACTATCCTGAGCCCTGAGAGAATCCACCAAGAGCAGGAGGAAGACGAAGAGCTCCAGCAACTCATCGACAATACCAACAATTCTCTGAAACTACAGAAATTATCGATCGATGGCACTCACTCGATCTGCTGTGACATTTCTTCAGGCGTTGTAAGACCCTTCATTCCTAAAAATCTACGACGAGAAGCCTTTGACACTGTGCATGGGTTGTCCCATCCTAGTGGACGAGTCACCGTTCGCACCCTCAAGCAGAAATACATCTGGCCCGGTCTCAAGAGAGACGCACTGGAGTGGTCTCGTAACTGCATCGCCTGTCAACGCTAAAAAATTCAGCGTCACAATCGTCTGACACCCAAACACATCGACGTGCTAGACACTCGCTTCAACCATGTACATCTTGATCTCATCGAGCTTCCAGTGGTCAACCAGCTCAGGTACTGTCTGACAATTATCGACAGATTCTCCAGGTGGCCCGCAGCGATCCCCCTGAAGGATATGACAGCTGACACCGTCTGTACCGCATTCTACACCGACTGGATTGCTCAATTTGGCACACCTCTCACCATCACGACTGATCAAGGCTCTTAGTTCGAGTCTGCACTCTTCAAGGCCCTGACTCAGCTGATTGGTGCTAACCGCATCAGAACCACACCGTATCATCCGCAGTCTAA